ATTGTTGGTTTATTTCTTTGGTTTTGCATTGAATCATTGAATTTACTTAAAACAAGAGCTTTATGATGGTAGAAATCATCTCTAGCTTATGAATCATAGCTCCTTTATGGATGTGTAAGCATTGACATCCTCTAGGAATTGGGGATTCTTTCATTCTTAAGGCTAATTAACTTCTTGGGTTCAATTGCTTCAATTGGATCTTTGATTTTGATTAAGAAGGTGTGTTGTGGGCTTCCCCAACCTCCATACTACCTATGAGGAATCTTGGCATATCATGCTTCATGATTGCTATAACCAATTTGGGATGAATGATAAGCTTTGTATTGAATCCTAATGATAAACACACAAATGTTCATTGTGTTGAATTACCTTGGTTAACAAATTGTTCCCAACATTTGAGCATCTCACAATCTTGCTTAATTGCAAGTTTTTTAGTTATTCAAGTCTTTTAGTTTTCAAGCAATCACAACACCCCTCTTTTAGTTTAATTGTAGTTAGTTAGTTTATTTACACTAGTTCTATTAGATTGCATTGGTGACTGAATACAACCATTTCCCCGAGGATCGATACCCCTTTTTATCATTATATTACGTTTTATTTGCAAACAAATGGTATAATTTGCTTGGTGGACTTGACATCTCACCAATCGTGCACATCCTCTTGGTTTTATGATTTTGAAGTTTGGGAAACTCTGACTGTGACTATTATTATTGGAAACAAAGTTTTGTAAACAATTGTGGTCGTTGGATTGTTTTTGCAAAGATGAAAACTTTATTATGATATTTGGGATGTTACACCATCGCTAAAAATCGTTGCATCGACTTTGTTTTAGAAATCATGTTCAAGAACAAGAAAAAAGTTGGAGTTATACCGTATAATCTTTTAAAACCTTTTTAGTCGATGGTGTGACAAGAACAAGATACAAACCTGATTGTTGGAAACAAGAACAAGAAACCCATATCTTTTGGAGCTTAAGTTGGTTTGATTTTCTTCAGAAACTTGAAGCTCAAACAAGATAAGGAGAGAGATGTTTTTTTGGTTGCTTAAAAAATAGATATCAAAATCTAGAGAGGAAGATCAGTCACCAAAAATTTCATGTAGTCTTGAAAAGATTACTGGATACTCGTCGGAGATGCCAAAATTGTTGGAAATCGGCTAAACATACACTCGGTCGTAATTGTATATGTTGAATATCATTTCCAAGTTTAATAGTAAATGACATAAAAAACTTAGTGGGTAAATTTGTGCATGGGGAAAAGTTTATTATCCATAGATAAATCATTTAATATTGTTTTGGAAAATAGCCAAAAATTAAACATTTGATGAAATAGTATGCTCTTTCACAGGACTCCCCTCAGGTTTGAGGAATGTTTGTAGGTATCCTTGCGAAACCACAAAAGACGTCGCTTTAAGGTATTTTCACATATATTTTCATATCACAAGGTTTTTCATATTCTCATAGGTCGTGCGAAAATACTTATATGTATACAAACATATATTTGGATATAAGTTCATATGAGAACACCTAATAAAATGTGATAATTTAGCATGAAATCAGCCAAAATGTTACATTTTCTCATGGTACAAACATATATTTGGATCTAAGTGCATATGTTTTAGCATGAATACCTAAGAAAATGTGACAATTTGGCGAGAACAAGCCAAAATATGACATTTTCACAGGATTTCATGCAAACTGTCACATTTTGGCTGGAATCCTTGCGAAATCAACATAATTTGGTTTATTTTTACGTATTTATGGTATTTATGTATGATGCGGAGCACATAGATGATGTGGTAAAAGCCTTTATAGATAAGTGAGAGAAAGACAAACAGAGCCAAAAGAGGCCCAACTTAAAATGAGCATAACTTTTGATCCGTAAGAAATTTTGAGGCATGCGATATATCGACGGAAAGGTATCGATGAGATGAAGATCCTCACAGTTGACAAATGGTCGTCCCTCAAATTCCACTGTTTAGTCCCCCAAACTCAGTTTTAATAATTTTTGAACAATTTCCGTTTTTATTTTATTATGTTTTAATGACAAAATATTAGTTTTCCTTACTTTCTGAAATTCCCTTTCCTGTTTAGAATTTTATTTGTTAGAATTTATTGTCAATTTCAGTTTTTCAAATTTGGCCGTACCTACCAAATTTAGCTTCACCCTTTATAAAGGGTTATTGTAAGCCTTTAGAGGCATCTTGATTTTTCAGTAATAAAATACTTTGAGTTTCTCTCTATTTTTTATTTCTTTGTGTGTCAATGTATAAGAATATGAATTTGCTGTCATGTATTTATATGAGTTGTTAAACTTCACAATACTATGCTCAGACGTAGTACTGTGGTCAGACTTCATAATAATGTGTTTAGACTTCACATTACTATGGTTTGACTTCTCATGGTACGACTATGAAGTATTGTGGTCTGACTTCGTAGTATTATGGTTGGACTTTAATACAATGGATAGTCTTCCCTAGCTACCGCCACTTCAACGCTCTATATAAAAAGTGTAAACATATAACAAATTCTTATCAAATCTTCTTACTTCAAGAACATAAAATTCAATTACTTGTCAAAAATGTCTTCATCTAATTCTCCACCTAGGGGCTGGTAAAAAATCTCGCATAAATTCAATCGTCTTTCCACCTCAACTAGGAATTTTAGAGATTAGAGGATATCTGATGACATCAAGGAATTGATAACTGTCAAAGAAAAAGAAATTATCTATAACCTTTATGATATTCATGTAAGAAGGGATGGGATGGATGCTTTGGAATATTAAATCAAAAGAAAAGAGACATGGATAAAATACACATAATAGGAAATCAAGAAAGCTAAACAATGGATAGGTAGAGGCCAAATGATCTCTTATATGGGAAGAGCATATGGCAATAGACGAGTTGGTGAAAAATACAGTCATTATATTGTTAAACTGTGCAACGAGTACTTGATCCCGAAGGTGCACACGACTTTATGAATGATATTAATAGTTATAAGTTGGTGAAAATATAGATAATCATGTATAATAGAGGTGTGAAAAAAACGAAGCGGAAAAAACGACGTTTGGTGCCCGAAAAATCGAAAATAAGAATAATCCGTAGCTAATCCGTAGCTAATTAGCTACGGACTAGCTACAGAATTCTAACGGAAAGCACATTCCGTAGCTAATCCGTAGCTAATTAGCTACAGATTATTCTTATTTTCGATTTTCCAGGCACCAAACGTCGTTTTTTCCGCTTCGTTTTTTTACACCTTTATTATACATGATTATCTATATTTTCACCAACTTATAGCTATTAATATCATTCATAAAGTCGTGTGTACATACGGGATCCATTACACGTTTAATGGTTTAAAACTATAATGCTTATCATCTACATTCACATACATGTAGACACATACACACATAGATACACATACACATACATATACACATACACATACACATACACATACACATTCAAATACACACACATACACATATGTGCTTACATACACATTCATATACGCATACATGCATACACATACACATACAGATACATATACATACACACATACACATACACATACACATTTACATACACACCTACATTCACGTACATACACATACATACATACATAAATTCATAAATACACATACACATACATATTTCCCTAGATTATAATCATTTTTCATTATTTATAAATTAAATATAGCTTATTTCATCTTATTGATCTTATTTATGTGTTGAACGTAGTTTTTTTTCGTTTAATCGTTTGTTTGTGTGTTAAACACATTTGTTACAATTGTTATATATTATTATGATGTTTATAAATATTATTATTATTAGTATTATTAGTATGATGTTTAATTGTTCGTGTCTTAAATATGTAAGAAAAAATGATCCAAAAAAAATTTAAGAGTCGAATAATGAAAAATAATAATAATCGGAATAATAATAATGGAAATTATAAATCCGTCGCTATTTCGTAGCTATTCTGTAGCTATTTTATTCTATCACTAGTCCGTAGCTATTTCGTAGCCATTCTGTAGCTAATGAACTACGGAATAGCTACGGATTCACATCCGTAGCTATTCCGTAGCAATTCCGTAGCTAATGAGCTACGGAATAGCTACGGACTAACATCCGTAGCTATTATGTAGCTATTCCGTTGCTAAATTAGGGCGTCCCATTCTGTAGCTGATCCGTAGCCATTCCGTAGCTAATTAGCTACGGAAATATTCCGTAGCTATTTTCCGTAGGAAAACCCCATGTTTTCTAGTAGTGGCAAAGGAGATGAATGAGAAACAAACATGGATTAACATGTAGAAAAAAAATCATATGATTTATCCACGGGCGATTGTAATGAAGATGACAAGTAGTATTGTGTGTTTTAAAAGCTTATGTTTTATTTCGTATACTGTTAGGTAGTGTTTTATTTAGTAATATTTGGTAATTTGTATTTTTAATGTTTTAATGGTATGGTTTTTATTAGCAATGAAAATATATGCTTTATGTTTTATCACCAAATAATGAATATGTGATTTAGCCAAGAACTACATGGGTGGTAAGTGGCATAATTTTTGTGTAGGTTTTCACAACACAAAAGCATTACTTCCAACCCAATGTTGAAAATGTCATTAAAATTGTCTGAAATTCTTGCTAAACTAAAACGACCTTCAGCCCAAAGTTATGTTCTCTTCTATCAAACCTAGGAAGGCAATGTTGTGAGACTTCATAGTTTCTCAGTTGTATTTTTTGATTAATGTTAGAAAATCTAATTTTTAGTTTAATTGGGTAGGGTGGTTGCAAATCCATTCTAGGTAATTCATTCCTTGTAATTTTATAGCTTTTGCTAGTTTCTAATTTTATGTCGTTGTTCCAAAAAGAAATAAAAAAATTAAGACATCATACACAAAAAGAACTTGACATCTTATTATTCCCATAATCAACCATCGTAAAGAAAAATCTCCCACTTCAAAATATATGGAAGACAATAACTAATGAGGTATTGGAACTCATATGATGATAGCATTGACAAGAAGAGAGTTGATATGATTTATAAGTTCTTCGCCAACATGTGTGAAATGGTCTTTATTCTTGTACATAACGTCCATTCCTCGTCCTAAATTGATAACCCGCCTAATTATAGGCATTTTAACATCTTTACACATGTTGGACTCTTTATTCATTTCTTTCCAAGCATCTTCAACCTTTTCATTGAATACACCATATACATGTTGCTCAGCCACATCAAATTGCTTCATGTAGCATTCGATGACAGAAGCAACATGATTTCTTTCTTGCTCGCCCTACATTTTTTATCAAATGATTTGAAATAGCATATGTTATACTTAATTAACAAAGTATACATCCAAGATTAATGAATAACACATAAGCTTTTAATCATATAAGGGAGAGGTTAATGTTGGTTGACTGGTTGTTATGCAATTACATATAGATAGGTTTGTAGCATAACAAAATTCATAGTTGGTTGTACCTTGTGGGTGACAATATCATCCATCAACCTACAAAGCCCACAACAAGCTTTGACAATAGGAGGATAGGTGAAAAGCCATCGGAATGTCTCCCCTGTTATTTCATCGTCCATGGCAGCAAAACTTGACGCAAGAGCAAATATAAATCCGGTAGAGATATATGCAACTTCTCCGTGTTCCTCAATGGTTGGAATATACTTATCATGTGTCCATTGTGCTTCTCTCATATAGCTTCTCATGTATTCTTTCATCTACTCAATCACATACAACCAAATCAACATGATTCAATAAATTTTTATAACTCCAATAAAATAGCCTTAATGTTCTAAAACTCTATATAAAACAAAAGAATTCTATATTTTCTACATTAAAAAAAAACCCTATATATAATAAATTGGGCAGTCCATGATAAGCTTAAGTCGAAGAACCATGCATATTCATATTACTTTTGTAAAAAATACTATTACAAAGAGGAAATCATGTTGAATCTTACCGACTCTTTGACATAATTAAGATGATTGACTTTTCCCTGTTTAGCCAAAGTTTCCTCCATTTCTTCAAAAAGATTCATGAGCATCTGGTATAGAAGTTTCATGTTTTCTGGAAGGTTGTCAGGACATGTAATCGACCACCTGTAGATAATTAAAAACTAAATATAACTCAATATGTCTTTTTAAACTATGAATTCTTTTTTTAAAAAAAATTATATACCTCTGGATCGCTTCTGTAAAAATCACAAGTTCTTCATATGTACCATAAGCATCATAGGTGTCATCTATAAGTGTTCCTATTGCTAAACCTCTAGCCACAAACATTCTACCTACAGAACATTGAGGATCAGTATACATTGCTAATGCCCATAAGTAGCATTCAACCAATCTATCTCTTGCATAAGGTAGATTGTTTGGGACATCGAAGCATTTCCACCACCTATAGTAATTTAGAAATATACACATTTATAGTTAGTTAGTCTATGTATACGAGAGATATTTTAGATCCATAACAACACCTAAGGAGAAGGAAAGAGCTTAAATATACATATGTATACATATACATACTTGGATATTTGGCAAATCTCCTTTTTATGGAGAGATTGAAGCAGGTTAAACCCTAACTTTGCAAGTTTTAGCAACGAAACATTATGACAAGTTTGTCGTTCATAGAAAGGTATGTAACGTATTGCCTCGAGTCTCGGCAACCTTTTATTTAAAGGTTGCTTTAGTGCTTCATGTATTTCAGTAGAAACAAGGTTTAGATTGTTGTTCTTTGCCATGTCATCAAGACACTTTCTTGAAAAATTAAGAGCATCATCCAGTATGACCTCGCCGGGTATACTCATATATGAAGCCTCATACAAATCAAGTAAGCCTTGAAGGTCGTTTTCTAAGGGCTCATGACTAAAACACCCCTCTTTATCCTTGTATGTATTGAGATTATCTGTTTCATTTCATGTAAGGCATCATTAGTTAGTGTCAAGAATAAACGAGAAACACACACACAAAGACAGAGTATAGTAATTACCACTTGAGATGAAAAAGCCTTGTTGTCGCATGAGTCGAAACCATAGGGAAGTACCCACACCATTCCAGTTATCACCATATGCATCATAGATTTCTTGCAAGGCTTGATTAATCTCCTTTTCAAAATAATACGCAATGCCAAGGCGTTGGATAGCATCGATCAGTTTTAACAAATTTAAATGCTCTGTGGGATCATTCAAACTTGCTAATATTTCTTTCCTCACTTCTTCTTTCAAGTCATCAACCACTTTCTCTATACCATCATTGTCTTCTTGCTTCATTTACATATGAGACGCGATTAAATTTGTTGAAATTCCACACAAAGGAACATTCATTCATCATAAAACATATACATAAATTATCTTATCTTATATAGAAGCATGAATATAGATAACATAGAGCTTCATCATATTAGGCTAGCTTGATAACATTTATTTTCTAATACACACAAATGTTGTGTTTATGTACTTGTAATACTTTGCATACCTCTTTATAGTCCAGAAACACATCTCCCCAAATGCTGGGTGGAAAATTAACGGTGGGTCGGATAACATCCTCTTGTTGAACTGGCATGTTTTATTACAGGTTTGGTTCAATATATGATGCACAAGCTGCTTTAATTAATTTGATGTATAGCTAAAAGCTATATATATATAGGTTGATGGATACATCCTCATCATATCTTATGTGATAAAAGGGGATATTATATTAATGGGCACATTGTTCAACTGTTTATACATAACATGCATTCCTCTAAATTAAATCTTGGGAATGAAAACCTTAAAAAATTATATCATCTTTGCCTTATCCCATCTTTCATTCAACTGTTTATACATAACATGCATTCCTCTGTACTAAACCTTGGGAATGAAAACCTTTAAAAAATATATCGTCTTTGGCTTCTTTCATTCTAGATATGTTTTTGTACGGGTGTATGACACTCCATTCTCCATTGGAAATAATTGCTCTTATGAGTAAGACGTATAGTTTCAGGATTACGTCGGACTTATAATTCTTTTTAGGTTATTATCATAAAAGCTATTAGCTTTACAATTATTATTATTATTATTATTTTAATTTATCCTAAGTTCTTTTTTTGTTATGTTCAAGAAAATCTATCATTTTTAATCAATCTATTAGCCGGTTGGTTCAATCGGAAACCCTGTCGGCTTCAACTGAAACAAAGTTAACATGATATTTGAACAATGCACCAACCCAATACGTTATTGTTATTCCTACCCTAGTTTCAGTAATCCTATCTCATTAATTATTATTTTTTAGGTGGTTGATCTTTATTTACTGAAATAAATGTCACGTAAAAAGTTATAAGTTTGCTTTTGTCAGAAAAAGTACCGGCTGCTTTTTAGAGTTACGCTTAATACACTTATACCTTTACATTAATAACCTCTTCGTTTTTAAAAAATGACATTGTTTACCCTTATATTTATATTTATACAATTTTTGCATATATATATATATATATATATATATATATATATATATATATATATATATATGTATATTTATTTATTTTAACAAAAGACCGTGGACTTTTTAATGATAAAATTATGTAATAGTTTTTTTTCTTAGATTACAGAAACTTTAAAAATTGTACATAATTTATTTTTAGTGTTTTTTCATAGTTTACATAAACTTTAAAAATTGTACATAATTTATTTTTGGTGTTTTTTTTAATATATTACACACTTTAAAAATTTGAGCTTTTTTATTATTTTTTGTGTCAAAATATTATTTTATATTTGAACTTTTTTTTATTAATGTATTTGAATTTTTTTATTATTTTTTGCGTCAAAATATTATTTTATATTTGAACTTTTTTTTATTAATGTATTTGAGCTTTTTTATTATTTTTTGCGTCAAGATATTATTTTATTATTGTTGTGTCGTGTTTTAACTTTTTTTTTAAAAAAATTGAATAAAAATATTTACATATCTTTTATAAAAATAGTATTATAAATTATCTATTTAATAAATGAAATAAATAATATCTTAGTAAATAGAATTTATGAATAGTTAATTATAAATATGTTATTAAAAGTATGTCATCATAACCTAATTATTAAAAATAATATTAATTAATTGGCAAAAAATATGTCATGATAACCTAATTATTAAAAAATCAAATAACATACGAGATCATTATAACATCCGGATTTCCAGGTATACTACTTTAATTATTTATTTTTGAGGATCATTGATCTACTCGACGAGTTGACGCTATGACTCGCCCAGTAGAAGCGAGTTTGACACGTGAGTTTAATGATCTACTCGACGAGTCCGAGAGTAGACTCGCCGAGTAGGCGCTGGAATGAGAAACCCTAAATCCCCGGGTTTGGGACCTATTTAAACGCACTTATAGCCTCCTTGGGCGGCCACACTTCACAGAAACCCTAACCTGCCCCTTTCGTTGTGTAGAGAGAGAGAGAGAGAGAGAGAGAGAGAGAGAGAGAGTCCATTTTGAGCATTCTTGTGCATTTTGGAGGAGAGATTGGAAGAGCTTGGTGGATCTGATCAAGAGAAAGTTGTGGATCTTGCATTATTCTGAGGTAAAAAGCTCTTACCTTGGCCACATATTCGTTAGATCTTATTTTTGGGGAGTTTCTAGGGTTTTCTCCCAAATCATCTCGTGTCCTTGAGTTATTTGAACATGGTTGAAGTTAGAACATCAGATATGGACTAGAGAAGGCCTTGAGAGCCCAAAGATTTGAGCTTTACTGAGCTGGAGGCAAGCTCATGTACATTTAACCTTTCTTGGGGCTTGTAATGGCATTATGGAGCATATATGCCATGCATGAACGTAAAGATCGAAGCTTTACGTGACATTCAAGCCTAGGGAGTCTAGATCTAGTGTTTGGAGTGTTAGATCTGCCCAAAAACGTTTGAATGGGAGTATGGACTGGATGGACTCGCCGAGTCCATGTGCAGACTCGACGAGTCGATTAGGGTTTACTCGATAAAGTCTGAATACGCTGTAACTCGACGAGTAGACGGGTCTACTCGGCGAGTAGAGTTGGTTTTCATAAGGTCTTTGAGGGAACGAGGGGACTCGACGAGTTGAGTCAACATGGACTGTTGACTCAAGTTGACTTCCGTTGACTTTTGGAGTTTAGACCAACTATGAGTAATGGAGACCATAGAGGGGTAGAATAGTCTTTTACCCTTACCAAGAGTTAGAGAGGGGTTAGTAGGAGCTTATTAGAATAATTGGTCTAACTAGAGATAATCACCATATGTATTAGGCGGAGGCTGTTCAGTGATTCGAGTACGAGGTGTATTAGTTTGCTTACTTCGAGGTGAGTCTTCTCACTATACTTTACCTTGAGTGGTATTTATGTGTGACCAGAGGGTCTTATGTGCTTACTTGAGTTGTGCTTTATTTGTGTGATATATATTATGATGTATTATGCGAGGCTGAGACCGAACCGGAGGGTCCAACGAGCCATGGGACTGGAGGGTCCCAACCAGACCGGACCGGAGGGTCCAACGAACCGTGGGACTGGAGGGTCCCACTGAGACACATAGACTGGAGGGTCTTACAGTGTTATAGCCTCGAGTGGCTAATATGTTAAATGTGGTATTTTGGGGAACTCACTAAGCTTTGTGCTTACCGTGTTATGTGTTATGTGTTTCAGGTAGTTCCGAGGATCGCGGGAAGGCACTGGCATGATTGTACACACTGGCGAAAGATTGTTATATGATTCTGGGATTTGATTTTTTTTTATATGTGTGGAATTGATGACATTTGAGATACCTATGATTTTGAGAATATTAAACTGAGTTTTATTGTGTTTGAAAATGAAAAATTTGTTTGAAAAAATCACGTCGTTACAAGTTGGTATCAGAGCCTTGGTTTGAGGGATTCGGATGCACCTTCGGGTATGTCTGGACTCAAACTGGGGGATTTGAGAAGAATTTTTAAGAAAAACGATTTTTCTAAAAACAAGTAAGAATTTCTAAGAGAAAAGCGGAAAAGAGCAGTGTGTACAATCAGCCAGCGCCCGAACGGTGATTTCCCAAAATACCCTTACTTTATGTGTTATGAGATATTTACGAGATAATTATGAGATATTATGCATGCTAGAGAGTAGGATAGGTATTTCATATCTTAGGACTAGAGTGGCCTGAATTGTGATGCCTTAGCCTAGGAGTTACTGCTACCGTGAGTTGTTTGAGTGCGAGTAGGTAGCAGAGAGGAGCTTATGAGAGGTCTTCTAGAGAGTGACCTGTGTCTGGAAAGGCATAGAGTAATTGCAACCTAGAATCCTAGGAGGAGGACTTGGGGTGGGTGCTGATGCGGTGTGGAAGGTAGTATTGGGCCCGTACTACTGGAAGCACCGGATCAGCAAGCAGCCCAAGTAAGAATCCTTAGGATGCTAAGGAGCAAGTAGGGGCGAGTGATCGAGTGTGAGTATACTCGAGCGAGTCTCTGATGATTTTATGTTGTGTTTCAGAGACATCATGGTGGGTACGCGCCACAACCCAGGAGGCAGTGGTACCAGTGGTACTAGTGACGAGGAGATTCGCAAGATGATCCACGAGGAGGTGGCCGCAGCCATTCGAGCAGAGATACCAGAGATGTTTGGGTCTATTAAGACCACCTTAATTGAGACATTTGATGAGAGATATGCTGCTCTTATCGAGGCGGCTGCTGCTGCAGCCACCGCAGCTGTCGCTGCTGCCAGGCCACAGGCGGGTGACTCGTTGCTGTACCGGGAGTTCAGCAACACGAAGCCACTGGAGTTTGAAGGGACTCAGGACCCGATTTTCGCGATGAGAAGGATCTTCTACATCGAGGGGTGTTTCTATACTTGTTCCTGTCCGGAACATTTGAGGGTACGGTTCGCGCTGAACCAGCTTTGCTTGGGGGCGAAGGACTGGTGGAAGTTTGTGACAGCCAGCTTCACTTCTGCAGAGCTCACTGCAGTATCTTGGGAGAAGTTCACTACTATGTTTCGAGATGAGTATGTTCCCCTGGTAGAGAGGGAACGGTTGGACCAGGAGTTATTGTCCCTCAAGCAGAGGACAGAGTCTGTGACGGTGAGTACGAGGATGTTCCATGAGAGGGCGATGTTCTGCCCTGAGCACGTGTCTACCGAGCAGGCACGTATGAGTCGATATTTGAGCATATTGAAAAGGGATATCCGCGAGTTCATGGCAAACTCGACTTATCGGTCATTTGCTGAGCTTCAGGCAAATGCCCGAAAGAGGAAAATTGAGCTGGAGACTCAGGCTAGGGAGGAGGCGGAGTCTCAGGGGAGGGATCGGCGGCCGGCACAGTCTCAGCCGGCAGCCAAGCGGGCGAAGCCCGCTGATTCGAGATCTGGAGGCCAGAAGGGCCGCACTTGTGGGAAGTGCGGCAAGGGTCATGAGGGGGTGTGTCAAGCGGGTGTTTGCTACAAGTGTGGCAAAGAGGGGCATATCGCGAGGGATTTCCCCAAGGGATTTGCAGTCTGCTTTCACTGCAACCAGACCGGCCATCGGAAGGCTGAGTGTCCCCAGCTGCTTCAGGGATCAGCGCATGGATCTGCACCCGATGCTATTCGAGCTACAGA